TGTTTTAAAATGTAAACAAAAATATACGCATCAAAATAGAAAAAATGTTGTAAACCAGCCAAGTTTAAAGACATATTTGGAAACATAGCTAGAGGAATAAATAAAAGTTTTTGAATTTTCGTGTGCATAAAGGATTGAAAACTTGGTAATTTGGTGATCGTTAGAAAAAAACTATATTTTGCATATAAAAGTCATAAAAACAAAAATACATGCATAAAAAACTAAACACAAAAGTGATCCCAAATCATTTAAAATATTTTAACAATGTTTATTTTTGTTTCGTCTAATGTAAACATTTATTTAACGAAGAAAGAGAGTTCTTCTATATTTTTTTGATTTGAAGATGAAAGCATTTATTGAAAAAAAATTATGTTATTTTTAAGTTAGTGAAATTTTATACCGTTTATGCGGAATATATTTTTTTTAAACACAAAATTTCTTGTGACGTTAGGCTCGCTTTTAAATTGAGTAAAACAGCCGTGATATACATACTAAAAAATAAAAATTAAAAACATTTTTTCATTGGAAGAATTTTGCGATAATCGATCATTAATGGAGAGAGGGATCTGCTTAAGAACTTGGGGCGGGTGATTTGATTCAGTGTGGATGTAGAGCAGTGTAAATATATATTTATAAATATATATATATATATATTTATAAATATATATTTATATATTTATATCTATATATGTGTATATAAATATATATATTATATATATATATTATATATATATATATATATATATAAATATATATATATATATATATATATATATATATATATTTATATATGTATATATATATATATATATATACATATATTTATATGTATAGAATTTTATATATCTATTTATATATGTATATATATATATATATATATATATATTCATATATATATATAATATATATATATATATATATATATATATATATATATATATATATATATATATCTATATATATATTATATATATATATATATATATATATATATATATATATATATATATATATATATATATATATATATATATATATATTACATATATGTACGGAAAAAAACACATTTTGAAACTTTTTAGTCCCTGTGTAATAAGGTATCAAATATAATATAAAACAAAAAGTTCACATCCTGAGGTAATCCACTGTTATTAAGGGTGGTAGCCCTCTTTACAAATTATTTGCTTCAAGATGGACTTCCTTCTAGAAGAAAATTGCCCAAAAATTGTTCAAGGAAATCACAGTGATTTAAGCAGAGCATTACATGTTTGGTGTGGAAAGTTATCATTAATGGTCTCTTTTCTTACTACAAGAGTTGGTTTCTTAGAAGCAGAAATTAAAAATCTACGAAAGGAAATTGATTTTCTTAAAAATAATAACAATGCAAATATCACTTATCAAAATAATATTCACAATGCTGACGTCTGGGCAGTTTTGTAAGTAAAGAAAAGGACTTTGCTGCCAAAGAGAAAAATGCTGCTTTGTTTGCCAAATTTCAAAAGAAAATAACGAAAAAAATAGAACTTTAAATAATATCATCATAAGTGGTCTTACTGAGTCAGTAAATTTGGATGATGATAATAAAGCGATTGATGAAATTCTTACCATTCTTAAAGTATTTTCTGACGATGTAAAAATCAAAAAACGACTTAAAAAGAAAAATGCCTCTCCTCCTACTCCTATCTCTTGTGAGATCGAAAATCAATATAATTCTGTGTCTTCACGTCCTCTAATGGTTTTAATTGAATTCAAAAACTATGAAAAACGTTAATCAGCTTTGGCTAATGCAAGGGAACTAAAAAATAAGTTTGGTTTAACAAAAGTTTATGTTCGACTAGATCAAACTGAAAATGAAAGAATTGCTCTCTCTAAACTTCATTTTGAATGTAGAATTAGAAACAATGCTCTTCCAAATTCTTTTGTGGATTTGCAAGGGAGGCAATTCAATTGGGGTACTAGAGATGGTAAAAAAGGATTTTGGTCTGTGCGATCTGGAACAATTCGATGGATCGAGCGCAAAGAATAGAACACCAAATCCTAACTTTTACAGTCCTCTATCTTTTATATCTAGCTTTTCTTTATCTGACCTCAAATATCTTTATCTTAATCCAACATCTTTGGATAATAAATGGGATGAATTCCAAGCTAGAATTGCGTCACTGGATTACCCACACATCGTTGCAGTAACTGAAACATGGTTCTCCGCCACATCTTCAACAAATCTTGAAAATTACATTGTATATCTTCGTAACAGGACAAATCGTGGAGGTGGCGTGGCTATTTATGTTAGAAAAGACATACATTCATTTGAATGTGAGTTCAGTGATGAACTAATTAGCGAGAAAATATGGTGTCAGATTTTAATTGGAAATGACATTTTGTTAATTGGTTGTATTTATCGCCAACCATTCACTAAATATGAGCCTAACTTAAAAATCAACAAGTCAATCAAACGTGCTAGAGCTCTAATTGATGATGGTAAATTTACAAGTGTTCTCATTGTTGGTGATTTTAATTATAGTGATATCAGATGGAGTGATTTGGGTGGCAAATGTAAAAAGGGTAAACAGTCTACTAAAATATTTTTAAAAACTATAGATGATTGCTTCCTATCACAGTTTGTCACCAAACCAACATTTATCAATAACACACTTTACCTGGTGCTGTCTGAAGACCCTGATCGTATTCATAATATTACAGTTGGTCCTCCGCTTGGTTGTACTCAGAAAAACTATTTCCACAATTCACTCTTATGGGATTTTAATCTTAAAACATCGACCAATCAATCAGACATCACAAAGTTAATTATATCTATGACAAAGGTGACTATAATGCCATTAGTGAAGGCCTAAAAGCGATCGTTTGGCCGAACTTATTCACAAATAAATCAGCAGATGAAAGCTTTGAATTATTTAAAAACATTTACATTTTATTGGTTGAACATCACATTCCCAAATATAATATATCTTTTAATTTTAAAAAACGTGATCCAAAATGGTTTAATTCTACTATTAAAGCGGCAACTAATGAAAAATTTAGACTATTTATGAAATTACGCTGTTCTTCAAGCAAATTTAAAGATAGTATTCGAGTCTTGTACAACAAACAAAATCGTCTGGTGAAAAAGCTTGTTGCTGATGCTGTACTAAAGTATGAGAGTGAAGTCATTTTCGCTTGTAAGTCCTGTCCAAAAAAGTTTTATTCTTTTAACAGCCAAAAGGCTTGTAAAAGTGAAATTCGATCACTTTTTGACCACGATGGAGTGCAATTAGTAGATAATATGTCTATTGCAAATTGCTTAAATAATCACTTTTTTAAAGCTTTTTCATTTCCTGAAACTCACTCCAAAGCTCCTGATTTTCCTCGAAGAACCGAAATAGTTTGCTCACCAGTTTCTAGCTCCTTGTTCAATTGTTGCAATATTGAAAAACGTTTATCTGCTCTTGACTCTTCAAAAGGCACTGGTAATGATGGAATCCATCCTAGAGTGCTAAAAATGTGCTCTAAAGAATTCAGTGTGCCTCTCTCTCTCCTGTTTATCAAATCGTTTGATTCTGGACAAGTACCGTCTGGTTGGAAACTGGCTAATATAACGCCAAATATTTAAAAAGGGTCAGCGTACTGATCCTAGAAATTACAGGCCTATTTTCCTCACCTCAGCAATTGGAAAAGTAATGGAGAAAATAATGCGTGATGTCATGACTGAACACCTAGTTAAGCATAATCTATTATCTTGCAATCAACACGGTTTTGTCAAATCTAGATCGTGTGTCACAAATCTTCTTGAAGTAATGGATATTATTACCAAAGCTTTAAGTGACAACTGTGCTGCATTGCTCATTTTGTTAGATTTTGCCAAAGCTTTTGATCGTGTATCACATCTTCTGCTTTATCACAAACTGGCTGGCTATGGTTTTGGCAATAATATTCTTGCCTGGCTCAAAGACTTTCTTGAAAAAAGGAAACAGCGGGTTGTTCTAGGAAATTTCTCTTCAAAATGGAAGGATGTCCATAGTGGTGTACCACAAGGATCAGTCTAAGGTCCTCTTCAATTTTTGATTTTTATTAACGACATGCCAGAAATAGTCAAATATAATTGCAAACTCTTTACTGATGATTGCCAGTTGGTTGCCAAAATAAAAACAGTTACGGACTTGGCTTTAGTTCAAAATGATATTGATATGATATGTAATTGGTCAAGACTTTGGTGCATGGAACTTAGCATAAATAAATGCAAGGTTCTAAAGTTCCGTGGTGGTTCCACAGACATCAATATCCTCTTGACAATGTTAGATAAAAATGGCAGTCAAATTCCTATTGAAGATGTATCCGTTGAAAGAACATTGGGTGTTCTGATACATAATAAACTGAAATGGTCAGATCAGATTAGTGATGCCACTCTCAAAGCTAATTCTATACTTGGGATACTCAAAAGAACTTTTAAAAAATGGAACCCAACTATGTTTGTGAAGCTCTATACAGCATATGTAAGACCGATATTGGAGTACTGTGCACCAATTTGGTGCCCTGTTCTTCTAAAGGACATTAAAAAGTTAGAGTCGGTCCAACGAAGAGCTACCAAACTCGTTCCACAATTTCGCAGCTTGAATTACAAGAAACAATTAGCATATCTTGGTCTCAGCTCATTAGCTGAACGTCGAACAAGAGGAGATGTAACTCAATTTTTAATAATTTATAAAAAATTAAATATTGTTAATTGGCAACAGCAGATTAACAGAGCCAGTGCACTCCTATGTAATGGTCCTGCAGGTCATCTTCGTGGTGCCAAGCATAAAATTGATCAAGAATTATCGAAAAACTCTCAAAGACAAAACTTCTTTAGAAACCGAGTGGTGTCATCATGGAACACTTTGCCTGCTTCGGTAGTTGTTGCAAACTTAGTTTTCAAAAACAATTATGACAAATGGAATCGTTCTATCTCATGTCGCTCTACTATAGTCGGGTCTCGTTAGACACTCGGCTCATATATATATATATAT